AAAAAAAGCCATAATTAGGAGTATTTGAATTCAAAGGTGAGCTATCCTTTAATAACTATGTTAAATGCCGTATTCATATCAAACTGTTTCATGACAAGTTTGATAGGTTAGGCATAGTTCCACCTATTATTATTATTTTCTTTTATCTCTTTAGTTTTAAACAGTTGTACAGCACTTTGTTTGAAAGCACTTTATAAATAAAGTTATTATTATTATTATTATTGTTCGTATCTTTAAATTAGGAATTGTGGTTTGAACTTCTAGCACCCGGTACAACCTTCTCCAGCAACATAGCAAAGTGTTATATTTCAGTGACATACAGTACACAGGCTTTGCTAAATGTATTGGGTGCTATGTGTGTGTTGTTTGGCAGGCGTGGAGGTGATGTGATGGTCATCGAAATACAGCCACTTGCTAATCAGCTACAGGGCCGCGTCATTGCTGTCCTCACTCCGCCTGGATGTTCGTATTTGGGGTGAGCTCATTTCTTCTTCACCAGACATGATGGGAAATGTAAAGCTTTGTATTATTTACTTTTTAACTAGTTTATTCTTTTTTCAGATACATAGTTCTTTTCTGCCAAACGTGGTTAAACCAATCTTAGAAATCCACTGTTTATTCATTGACACAATATTTTGTCTCACTGATTACTGATGAATACATTCTGTTCAACTGTTACCTATGAAGCGCCTTGAGGCGACTTTTGTTGTAATTTGGCGCTATATAAATAAAATTGAATTGAATTGAACCTACCGGTTATTTTTCAGCTTTGTCAAATGTGTAATCTGGATTACATCTCTCAACCAGTCAAAAAAGGTTTATCAGCCTTAGAAGCAAAGTTATATTATAGCTTTACAAGAAGGCTTTCATGCAGCCAACTTATGAACTGCTTCACAAACCAAATATGGCAGATAATGAAAGTATGGGAAGTGTATTAAAACAAAGCAAGCGCAGTCTTGATCTGTGGAGCTTGAATCTGAATATGAACACTTAAAGTTCAGTAGGAGGTCAAATAAATGACTTTATCTCCCTTCCCACATACTGTACACTGTGTCACTTCCTCTTCTCTCTCTTTCTCTCAGAATCCTGAGGGAAGCAGCGCTAGTGGCGAAGGACACAGTCGTATGTGGTTTTCAGAAGGAAAACATGGAGTGGTGCCTGTGTGTCTGGAGGGCCTGGGGCTGCTCGGAGCTGGAAGTCTTCTACCAGTCCTATGAGAAGCTGGGCCACTTGGAGACCAACATGAGGAAAAGAAAGTAGTCGTTTTGTTGCAACAGCAAGGTGCATAATCCAATCTCTGTATGGCAGCTGAGCCAAGGGGAATGCACCCTGACAGACTGCCAGTGTTCAGAGTTGGGGGTTGTGGAGCACTGACATCAGGGCAACCTGTGAGGCAAACCGGGTCTCCAATGAGGGATGATCTTGAAGCTGGACACCACTTCAGTACAATCATAACTTTAAACCAGAAAAATTCTGCGAAAATATAAAAACCATGAAGCTGAATCACAGAATAAACTTTGGTTGATGGTTGTGATTCAGTTCAAGATGTGGTTGAGTATGTTGTGAGGTGTTTGATGCTGACTTTACCCCATCATTGTTTCTTAGCCTGTTTAAGTCTTCCTAAAGCTCAGTATACGTTCTGGAGGTGACACAGTGCTGGGAGACTCTGAGACAACAGACACCGATTATTTAAATTAAGTGATTTAAGATAGTGCTGTTGTTCCAACTCTGTGTTGCTGTAAGCAGACAGCAAGTCGTAAATGTGTTGCTGGCTGTTATAGTTTAAGTCTATATTTGCTAAATTTCTTCAGTTTTGTTTTAAACGGTGCCATGTGAACCTGGATGCAAGCTGCAGCTCAAACTGTAAACAGCAAACTAACATCCGCGAATGTGCAACATTATTATGCAAGTTTCTCAGTCTTCACCATGAAAATGTTTTATCGGATTCTTACACATAAAACATTTTGTGTAAATGAAGCTCTGTGGTCCTCGCTGCTTCTCTATTGTGATCTGTAAAACACCAGAAAGGATTCAGCATGTTCAACAGTTCACCTCCCTAATAAGTAGCAGCTTTTGTTGTTACTGGCCTTCACAGGGTTCAAATTACACTCAGTTGCACAAGAGACTCACAGGACCGACTTTCTTTCCCAGGATGACAAATACTGTTGTTTTGCCAAAACTATTAGTATTTCAGAGATAAGCACAAGGTGTACTCTAGCAATGGTCATGGCAATATTAGAGGTAAAGAGCAAATGTTCCAGTGTGAAAGGCCAAGAAAGTCCTCACATTCATGTACCATTTGGGAGGGTGGTATTTGTAATTATTTAAGTTTGTTCACTCATAGGTTCAGGAAAGTATTTGTGTTCTGATTAAAATATGTTCACTGTAAACGTTTTACCTGCACACTGCATGTATATGTAATGTTCTGGGGTCATATTTTAATAATGTTTCTTATGTTGTGTGACCAGCCTCACATTATGCAGACAACAGATGCTTGTTGTGCTTTTTTTCTTTTTAATTGCCTTAATACAAAAAATGTTCTTATCTCATCAGAATGTAATTGTTATCTTATCAGCTGTACATAATTCATTCTTTTTTCATTTTATTGTCAACAAATAAATAACAGAATAATTAGTTATTAAGTTACCATTTATTTACAAAGGCCGAGTGTTAGTGGGGCGATCGTGGCTCAAGAGTTGGGAGGTCGCCTTGTAATCGGAAGGTTGCTGGTTCGAGCCCCGGCTTGGACAGTCTCGGTCGTTGTGTCCTTGGGCAAGACACTTCACCCGTTGCCTACTGGTGGTGGTCAGAGGGCCCGGTGGCGCCAGTGTCCGGCAGCCTCGCCTCTGTCAGTGCGCCCCAGGGTGGCTGTGGCTACAATGTAGCTGCCATCACCAGTGTGTGAATGTGTGCGTGAATGGGTGGATGACTGGATGTGTAAAGCGCTTTGGGGTCCTTAGGGACTAGTAAGGCGCTATATAAATACAGGCCATTTACCATTTACTCTCCCCCACCATACTGTTGCTTTCAACACTTCAGCTGAGGAGTGAGCTGTGAAAGCTCAAGGAGCGAAAGGCTGCAGGTCTGGATGACTTTGACAGAAGTAAAATAGTATTTTGCACAACAAAGTGATGTGTAAAGCATATTACCTGGCTGTTATAAACCTCGGCTCATTATGGCGTGCAATGCGACCTTAAACTGAGGACACCGGGACAAAAGAAGTGACAGGTCCAAAAAACAATTTACAGCATATTAGCAGTATCCAGTATTCCAGTATATGGAAGTCATGTTCTCAAGAAATAGGATAAAAGAAAATCCAGCCCTTGAGCTATTTCCGAAGGCTCTTCAGAAAAGCTCTCAGTGGAAGAGTAGGTGTGAAGAAGCTGATAAGGGTAAGGAACTGGGAGAAAAGCAAACAGGAAGTGGTTAGGCTTAAAGTAGCAACAGTTCATATCAAGCAATTTGAAATTTTTGGTCTAACTCACCATCAAAAGAGAGGTAATGAGTGTCTGCAGCCATCTGTGAAACACAATGGAGACTGATAGTTGGGGCTGCATTTCAGTGAATGGTCTTGAGGATTTTGTTAAAATTGATGGAATTGTAAAGTATGGGGACATGATACCATCTGGTATTTTTCTTTCTTGGTTTCACTCTGGCGGAGCCCACCGGGAACGAGACTTGCTTTTGGATGGATGGATGGTTTTGCTCTAGAGTGTAAGGATTTCTTTTATTTCCAGGAAGAGTGGGATTTCTGTTTATTTTTGGCCTTGGAGACCCTGGTGACTGTAAATAGTTGCTTGTGAAATAGATGTTTGACGCATGTTTTTCCCCCCTTTTCTTTTTTCTAATCTTAGCTTATGTATGGCTTGCACTATTGATCGTGTGTGTTACACCACATGTGACCCTTAGGTCTCGCCCCGATGCTGGATTCTAGCTCAGGACTTTCTTGCTCTGACACAACAGTGCTAACCACTGTGCCACCATACTCCTCGTGTTTTAATCTGTATACAACAGAAGTCTGAGTGTGTCAGTTGTTACTGGAGAGCTTGAAACAAGATTTCACAGCTAAAAAGCGCTGTCATTACACCTCCAAATGTTTTAGTGTTATATTTTAGCCTAGTAACAATTTTATTTTTAGAAACTAAGTAAGAAACTCTCTCGTGGTCTCACTGTCACTGCCCAGATGAGTGTTGAAGTCTTCCAGTAGGACAACAGAGTCCCCAGGTGGAGCACCCTCACACACCCCACCCAGGGACCCCAAGAAGGCTGGGGGCGTATAGGCACAGAGGACAATCAGGACCCGTTCACTGACCTGAAGGAGCAGGTAACAAACCCTCTCGTTCACCGGGAGAAACCCCAATGTGCAGGCAGCAAGCTGAGGGGATACTAGGACGCCCGCTACCTCTCGCCAAGCAACTCCAGACTGAGACAGGAGACTGGTTTCAGAATCCAAGTCGTGCGTTGAGGTGAGCCTGATTATATCTGGCCGGTACCTCTCAACCTCATGAATAACTCATACTCCTTGGGTGCTCTCATTTTGGGCAAAATGCCGAGAGCAGCCATGGTCTCAAAGCCTCTGAGTTCCTCACAAGACTAATTCTTGCCACTGCTGGCCATCTAGATTTACATACGTATAGTATCCATGGGCAAGAACCTACTGTACTGTGCAAAGGTTTTAGGCAGGTGAGAAGAACTTTAAGCAAAGAATGCTTTGAAAAATGGAAGTGTTTATCATTTATTTTCACCAATCAACAAAATGAAGTGAAGGAACAAAAGAGAAATCTAAATCTAGTCAGTATTTGGTGTGACCACCCTTTGCCTTCAAAACAGCATCAATTCTTCTAGGTACACTTGCAGAGTTTTTGAAGGAACTCGGCTGGTCGGTTGTTAACCACAGATCTGTGGATGCAGGCTTCCTCACATCCTTCTGTCTCTTCATGTAATCCCAGACACACTCAATGATGTTGGGATCAGGGCTCTGTGGGGGCCAGAGCATCACTTCCAGTACTTGTTCTTAATGACTGTGGCTGCGTGTTTGGGGTTGTTGTCCTGCTGCAGAATACATTTGGGTTCAATAAACAAGCATTTATATTTCTGAAAGCGTTCTTTATAACAGTTTTTCACAGTACTGTATATTACGCCTGCCCTACGAATTCATAGTTAAAGGTTTGTAGTTGTACATCCTTAGTTTTTTTTTTTTAGACAGAAGAGGGTAGTAAAGACAAGTATTGCTTTTTGTTAAGATATAAAGCAAACAAAACTTTGGTTGATAGTGTCATTCTAAAGATTTGGTGCCTTTTGTTTTATTTTGACAACAATAAAACTCATAATTAAAGGGATGTTAAATATATACACAGACTTGGAGATTCAATTAATTTAATAAATTCTGGTTTCTCAGAATCCTCATGAGCTAACTGATGACAAGACATTTGCCTAAAATAGTGTAACAATTCTCTAAGTCTTCTCTCACAGGAAGCCATTCACCAAGTCAAACGGCAGGAAGTGAAAAAATATGATAATTTAGAGTTGTTACTTCCTCATCCTCTGAGGTATTTGTGGCTACAGTGTTGTCATGTTGTATACCCTTTCTTCTGGAGAACAAAATGTATGAAGTGAAACAAAAAGCCATCATTTGAACAGTAACTTAAACCATTGTCTAATCAAAAATGATATTCCCTGATTTCCCAATGTGCAGCATTAGGCTCCTCTTTTTAATACGAGACCAAATGTTACAGTTTTACAAGTAGAAATGTTTCCTGTTCTTGTTTGAGCTAAGGTTCTGTCTTCCTTATATGTATGTGCACATTTCAACAGTGGCATATTCAATTCAGTTTTATTTATGTTGTGCCAACTCACGAGCAGTCGCCTCCAGGCACTTCTGTATGGTAAGAGAAATAGAGTAATCTGCAAAATGCAGCAACATCCACTTTCTGGAGATGGTTATCACAATGGAGGGAGGCGGGATTGGTGGAATTTGGCACCTCCTACCCAAACTCATCTCTTTCCCTTACCAGACTCACTAGAGAAGCAGTTTCAGCCTCTCTCCGTGCTCTAAAGAGGTTAAGTTGAAAGTCCAAATCCCCCACTCGCAGTGTGACCATAACGGGTCCTTGCCACGTGGCGAGTAATTTTGAGCTAGAAGAAGGGAGTAATACAAGCACTTTATTTCCTGGTGAAAATTGCCTTAGTCACCACTTCCCCTGCCAGTGGCGGACTCCCTCAGGTGTCGGTGCGTTGGTGGTTCTTTGTGTCCGGGGATGGGCGTCCAGGTACACACCGGCTCACTCCTTGGCGGCTGCTTATCGGGGCCTGGAGCCTGGGGCTCGCTCGGGCCACTTCGGGGGTGGGGTGCCCCGGCCTCTCGGCCTGGGGCTCGGTCACTCAGGCGCAGCTGGCTGCCGGCGGAGCTCACGGGCGCGTCACTGCAACTCCCCCTGGCTTCTGCTCCGCGGCTGCTGAGTGAGCCCTCATCTGGGACTCTCCTCAGCTCTTTCTGGGACAGTGGCGCGGCTGCCCCTCTGTTGGTCTTCCTTGGTCTCTTGTGTTCTGAGGGCCTCTGGATGTCTGGAGCCTTGATCTCCTCCATACCTGTTCATGCCCTGGAGGACGGGGCTGTGCCCCCCCACACCCTCTAGCAGATCATTACATGAAGGAACCTTTTAAAAACAAGCGCGTCCATGCTCACAGGTGTACACACGGGGGATCACACCCACAAACTACACCCTTTTTGGCTCCTACCTCAAAGCACACTGTGTTCTGTTGATCTTACGTGCTGCACAATAATGTTTAATATTTAGTATTTACTGTCATATTCCCATATATCATTGTGATGTTCAGTGCTTATTCAGTGCTTTTCTATTCTATTTACAGCCAGAAAAGATTGTATTCATTTTAATGAATGATAAGATAGAGCCTTATGTTAGGAAAGCTTTACATTACTGCTCAGTGTCGTTGAAAAGTCCAGGAAGAGGTTACTGAACTACCAGTAAATGAAACTCCTTCCCACTTTCCTCCAGTGGAGCTTCTGAGGGACAAGATTGTTGCTGACATGTTATTGCTCACACAATCTAAATTACTACGACTTTGAAGTTTGAGCCTGTTGTGAAATGATTCTTTTTATGGACTAGTAATCAATGCCAGGGCAGGAACGCCTCAAAAGATGGATTAACAACAGGCCTCACATCCTCAGTTTCTGATAATCCGTGGTTGTTATGTCTTGTTTTTTTTTTTACATTTAATTACATGCCTGTTCAAAGAGCTTTATTATATAAGATGAAGACTCTACAACACATAAACCAGAAGGGAGGAAGAGAAGAATGTGTGGTGTGACACACAGAGTACGTGAGCTGGTACAGGGAAACTATAAGCATGAGGGATTGTTGCTTGAGACAGAAAAATATGACACAATGCATTTACTCTCCCCCAATTTTATTTCTTTTTAAATAGAAAACCATGTCCATTTAGAAAGCAATAAAACATTTTTTTTAAAGAAAATCAAACCATGATGACAGCACAGTAACTGCTTGTGTGATCAGTGTTATAAATCATGTTGTAATGCTGCAACAAGAGCATAAAGCCAACAGAGCCCTACAGTGGAAGTTCACAGGCAGAGGCATGAAAAGAGGAAAT